CTAAACTCAAAGTACCATGAACTCAGTCATATTTAGCATTTTTGTGTAACAAGGCGATCATTTTTTTTTTGTGACAAGATGATCATAATTCAATTCATATGTTATAGATACTCTCTGGTGAGTAGATAGCAGTTTTTTTTTGAATCGCACGGATTATTAAGGGCTTTTATCATTCGGGCTTGCTAAAAGTCAGTCGACCGAGATTTAACCAAGTCTCAGTTGACCCTGCAACATTTTGTTCAACATTTGCAACTTTTTTTCTATTGTTTTGCAACATCCGTCTTGTTAGTTGTAGCATGTTGTCCCTCATCGTCTCACCAGTTGTAACATCCATTATTGACGATTGTAGCATTTTAATCACACCGGTTGCAGCATCAATTGTCATTGATTGCAAAACTGTCGCAACATTTTTCCATAATCGTTTTAGCATCTAACCATGCTGCTTGCAACAAAACAACTACGCTGACGTTACTCGATCGAGACTTTCTTAAGTCTCAGTCGACCGAGTTCTAGACAAACCCTTTATCATTTATGCCACTGGTTATGTCCCATTACTCGTTTTTGCCACTAGGTATTTTAACTGCTAAGAAAATGCCATCTCTTTGTTAGGCGCATGCTAAAAAATGCCACTGGACACCATTATTGTCACCTCAAATCTCGTTTATCATGTTATACTAACCAAAATACCTATGTGCCAACATGTAAGCTCTTCCTCTATCTCACTACAATGAAGTGTGGGCCCACTTGATCCCAACAACGTCGTTATTTTCCTCTAAAATTATTCGCTTTCTTACTCCTGACAAGTGGGGCCCACTCTTTATCATGTGAGATAGAGAGAGCTGACATGTGGGTCTAGGGGTATTTTTATCATATAACATGGTCAACGGGTTTGACCTGACAATAACGATGTCTAATGACATTTTTGAGCAAACATGTAATGGAATGATGACATTTTTTTGGATATACAATGGCATTCTTTAGCACGCATCTAACGAAACGGTGGTATTTTTTAGCAGTTGTAACTCTAATGACAAAACTGAGTAGTGAGACACAAATAGTGGTATAAATGATAAAAAAACCTTATATTAATCAATAAAACAAAGTACAATTGCACACATACATGCGAAAACCGTCAGACCGAGTCATGACATATGTCTAGGAAACATTGCAGAAAGAACTCCACACAAAAGATTACAAATAAGTTTATTGGAGTCCCTACAAACAACCAAATCGGAAATGGCCGCTGACCACCAGTGCCGTTGAGACGCACATCGAGGGAAGATGCGGAGCACCAGCAAACCAAAATCCAGGACAACGCCATAGCCTTGTAGGCATTGTGAGCCAAATACCGGACTTGCAGAACTTGCACTCAACGATGTGGCATGTCGACCGAGGATGTTCCCCGCGACGACCTGGATCCAGATCTAACGCATTCGGCCGTTGTCGGGGAAGAACGTCAAATCTGCTGCCGTCGAGCCACCAATCTTGTACCAACACCAATCTGTCCCACTTGTCAGCGCCACCATGAGAGACAACAACCGTCAGACACAAGAAACATAAGGCCTACTGGTCCGAACGAACGGCAAGCAAACGAGACCATCGACTCAACAGCGTCGCCGCAGAGGACTTTGCCGTGGTGAGGAAGAGACTGAGGTCACCTTATTTGATGCGGCACTAACCTCGCCAAATTGGCGCTACTAGACGAAGCCGAAGCCCTAAATCAATGAAACAACAGGGAGAGAAAACAGGAGCCCACCCCCTCCACCAGCCGCCGGAGCAGCGGACAGAGAGGGGTGGAGATCGCGTTCTCGCTGGCGCCAAGAAAGACAGGAACTGTCGTCCCTGTCACAAAGTAACATAGCAAAGCAGTTTTTGTGTGATTGGCTTGGAGTAGATAGCAGTTACACGTAAAAAAAGTAGATAGCAGTTTGGCAAGACAAATGGTTGTTGCTTCCACCACTATGCGCGTACAAGCACAAAATGCTCTCTAGTCGGGTGCTCGACTTCATGCATTCAACAATCGACCACACATGATGTTTGACGGGCATGGTTAAATTGTCACGCGTAATCGGCGAATCCAACTTCTAAAGATCAATTCATATATATTATTAGATAGAAGAAGACACTTTTTTCCTACAAGCATTTTCGCAAACACGTTGCAAGCAAACTCCATTCCACATCATACACTCCATAATTCATAGACACAACATGCACTTAAAGCAGATAATCACATTGCATAAAAAAATTGCATAGTTAGGAAAGCAACATTCACAAGCAAGAAAGAATATGACACAACAGAGGATGGGAGGGGCCAAAGAGGGAGGAGGGACAAGAGAGGAGGGAGGTCACATGGCCAAGGGAATGGGCACACGGAGGTGCAATTACCACTCGGGACGGCGACATAGGAGAGGAAGACGGGGCGGAGGAGATCGAGGCATGGGACATAAGAGGAGGCTAGGACGGGGCAGGGGAAGACGGGGCGGAGGAGATCGAGGCATGGGACATAAGAGGAGGCTAGGATGGGGCAGGGGAAGACGGGTGAGAAGATGGAGCGAGGCATGGTTTGCCAAAACAAGCCGCCAGAGTGGGCCGACCAGAGAGGTTAGAGACGGAACCCTAACTGCCCTTGCCCCCCCGTGAATGGGATGGAAAAAAAAATGAAAAACGTACATAGCAGGATTTGGGTTGGAGATGGAAAACGAACCACGATTTTCAGGGGCCGTTGTGATCACACGTCTCGCACATCCACAGTTAGGCAAGAAAAAAGATACCGGAGAAAGGAAAGAGAAAGAACCTCAGCCAACAGGAAGGACGAAGGCCAGACCGACAGGCAAACTAAGCAGGAAGGCACAACTGGATAGCAGGGATGAGCTAAAAGAGCACCTCCAGCGGGCTGAAGCAAGGGACGAACTCAGTGAAGCATAAGGTGGCAGCAGTGAAGGGAAAGAGAAAGAAGGACAAGAAAAGCAAACGTAGAAGGATACGAGATAAAGGCAATGACAACACGTAGACGAAGGAACTAACAAAACCCATCACACATAGCCACACACTTGTGGAAACAGGCTCGATGACACGCCTGGCGGCCGAGGAGTGTCATTGCTCTAAGAAGCGGCCTTACCCAACACCTATTAAGAAGAGAAGATGACACGAAGCAACCAGTCGTCGAATATCTCCGCGCGAAAGAAACGTCGAAGGCGCATCAAGTGGACACGGGAGAGTCACCATAGGGCCGCAAAGTCGCAAACACATGCGTGCAAAAAAAAGAAAAGATAACATAGTCGCCACCGACCTTCATCTTTTGAGCATAAAACCATGAAGATGTTGAAAACCGAAAGGAGAAAAGCCTTTCCCAAGAAGAAACGAAACCACTGTCAACACTCAGACAGAGAGAGAGAGAGGCTCACTCTTTTCTCTGAGGGAGAGGGGCGAGGGGCTCACTCAACGCAACGGGCACGGCTGACACCCGATCCGGGCCGTGCACCGCGTGACCTCACCGGGCCGACCGACCGCGCGCAGGTCCACAAAGCGCCCGCCCGCCCGCACGGAACCATCCCCGTCGGTCATCCTGCCCTTTTCGGTTGGTTATTTTCCCCTGCTCGCCGCCCAACGCGCATGGCATCGCATCGCGGGTGAAGTGAGCGAGCCAAGCGAAGGAGTGGACGAAAGGGGAATCAGACCGTGCCAAAGGTCTCACA